ACTATTGAATACTTTATTGACAAAATTCTGTTCACCTTGTGATACATTAAATTATATATTTTTACTCATGTCAATAGTTATTATTATTTTATTTATGTAGATCGATCGATAGATAGATGTGAACAGACTGAAATAGGTAGACAGATAGATACATAATGATAGATAGATAGATAAACGTAAAAATACCAGTCACCATGTGTTGATTTCTATATTCACAATATCTCTCTCTCTCTCTCTTTTTTATGCCTATTCATTATCTATCTATCTATCTATCTATCTATCTATCTATCTATCTATCTATCTATCTATCTCATTCTATTCATGTCTATCTAATTCTATTCATATCTATCTATCTATCTATCTATCTATCTCATTCTATTCATATCTAATTCTATTCATATCGATCTATCTATCTATCTCATTCTATTCATATCTATCTATCTATCTATCTATCTATCTATCTATCTATCTCATTCTATTCATGTCTATCTAATTCTATTCATATCTATCTATCTATCTATCTATCTATCTATCTATCTATCTCATTCTATTCATATCTAATTCTATTCATATCTATCTATCTATCTATCTATCTATCTATCTATCTATCTATCTATCTATCTATCCCATTCTATTCATGTCCATCTAATTCTATTCATATCTATCTATCTATCTATCCATCTATCTATCTATCCATCCATCTATCCCATTCTATTCATGTCTATCTAATTCTATTCATATCCATCCATCTATCTATCTATCTATCTATCTATCTCATTCTATTCATATCTATCTAATTCTATTCATATCTATCTATCTATCTATATCATTTCTATTCATATCTATCTATCTATCTATCTATCTATCTATCTATCTATCTATCTATCTATCTATCTATATCATTCTATTCATATCAATCTATCTATCTATCTATCTATCTCATTCTATTCATATCTATCTATCTATCTATCTATCTATCTATCTATCTCATTCTATTCATGTCTATCTAATTCTATTCATATCTATCTATCTATCTATCTATCTCATTCTATTCATATCTATCTATCTATCTATCTATCTATCTATCTATCTATCTTTCTCATTCTATTCATGTCTATCTAATTCTATTCATATCTATCTATCTATCTATCTATCTATCTATCTATCTATCTCATTCTATTCATGTCTATCTAATTCTATTCATATCTATCTATCTATCTCATTCTATTCATATCTATCTAATTCTATTCATATCTATCTATCTATCTATATCATTCTATTCATATCTATCTATCTATCTATCTATCTATCTATCTATCTATCTATCTATATCATTCTATTCATATCTATCTATCTATCTATCTATCTATCTATCTATCTATCTATCTAATACGTACATCTTTATGTACGAAATAAAAAATACATTTTATCAATAATTAGTGATTATATCGCTCCCAAGCTATTTTCAATTTACTGGATTTCTTAAAATTTTTTTCACAGATATTCTACAATTATTTCCTCGCTTTCATGTACTTCTAAGGCTTCATTGTCTTGTGTATTTTTTTTCAATTCAAGTACAACCTATTGTCAGGCAAGGTCGCCGACCAAAATTATTATTATTATTGTATCGAATTGCTGTTTGAGGACAGGAAATCGTGAAGAGCCATGATCGCCTACGTCCTGAGGGGACACGGCACATAAAGAAAAAGTCTCATTAGCATAATTTTTTTTGTTTTTTTGTATTTCAGATAAAGATGGATGAGATTATTATTATTATTATTATTATTATTATTATTATTATTATTGTTGTTGTTGTTGTTGTTATTATTTTATATCCTTTGATTTCTGGTGTGTACTCATTTATTTTCGGGTCCCGACCAGAGACCTAAGATCAGAAATGACATCATGATATTTTCCACTCAGCAATTTTCAAAACAAAAAAAACATTACATATTTTACGTAAATAAAGCCCTTCATAAGGTGTGGGATGTACGTATTAGAACATTTTTTTGTATTTCTTTAAAGCCTGGACTGCCAGGAATCCCTTCAATGAGTCTATTGGAATCTTTTCCAATCAATGTAAGATCTCCAGCTACAACTATTGATGTTCTCATATGCCACATTTTTGAGATTTCAATTTCAAGATCCTTGCATTTTGATAGATTTTTGAAGATCTTCAAAAATACATTGCAGTCTGCAGGGACTGCTATATCAATAAGGAGGCACATTTTGTCTTTGTGGCCTATAATCACGATGTCAGGGCGATTAGCGGTTAGCTTTGATTGTTATATTTGTGTGTATTGTAAAGTCCCATAAAATTGTTACTGGTACTATCTCTGTTCACACCAGTTTCTTGCAATTTCCTTCCCGTTGAAAAGTTGCATGTTTCCAGTGATGATATTGGCCAAATCTATCATGCTGAGTTTTATATTCAATAGTTGATAACACTGTGCAACCTGCTAGAAGGTGGTCAATTGTTTCTAGATTTATATCACAGAATCTGCATTTCGGGTTAACACAATTTTTCAATATATGTGACTAGCAGTAGAGCCCGGCGTTGCCCGGGGATGTAACATCATAAAGACAAAGATTATTGTTTAAGGTTGACGGACACGCATGTCTTAATTAGCTTTTTTTTGTTTTTTTTTACGAATTAGTCAAACCCCAACTCAAACAAAAACATTGTTCTCAATCATTATGAGTCTATCGATTGAATAGAATTTTATTATAAACAATTGTCTTGTAAATGGAATTTTTAAAGCATTCTGAATGTAAAAATAAAGAAAAAAGTGTGCAAGACAATAAGAAACACTACCTGCCAAAAATAAAGTGAAGTTTTGTTGAAATCGGTTGAAAAATGTATGAAATCCGATCCCATATATAAACGAAACACACACACACACACACACACACACACACACACACACACACACACACACACACACACACACACAACCTGGGTTTTATATTAAGTATAACTAGATATGAGTTGTCCCCCTTTCATTCTGCCGACAGAATCGTGTTTTATCGTGTTTTCAAATTGATTTCGTGCAAAAACAATTGTGCTTTTCCAATTATTGGCGCTGTCAGAACCACCGCAAGGTAATTTTGCGCAGTCCTGTGAAGTTTTATTGAAATCGGTTGAAAAATGTAGGAAATTCGATCCAATATATAAACGTACACACACACACACACACACACACACACACACACACACACACACACACACACACACACACACACAATCTGCTTTTTATAATAAGTAAGATTAGTAATTTGTAGTTAGCAGGCATTGGTCCTGTGCAGCAAGAATGAAACCTTCCATTTCAGCTTTTAAGTCTGGATTACGTAACCACTGATGGGTACGGTTTTTGTCTACATCAGCTTGCTTGGTACGGGTAGAGTATTGACCATGAAGGGGCTTATCGTTTTTGCATTCGGTCAATTGCATTAGCTTTTGCTTTCGTTTTTAGGGTCTTTCCGCTACAGTAGGTGTATTATGGATTGTTTGCACTTCTTCATCTACTTTGAAATTCTCTTCTGAATTTGTTGGCTTCCTTTATTATGGAATAAAGTTTCTTATTTCTTTCACGTTCTTTGACATAAATCATCATTCAGTCTTCTGTAATTTTCAGGTAACTTTGAAGACTGATTTCTGTGGTTTTGTAAGACAGTTCTAGTTGAACAAATCCTCTACTTACTTCGGATCTGGGCGCATACAGATGATCAACATTAGATTTAGGTTGATGCATGTGGTGACAAGTGAGAAGCTTCCTCGTTTTGACAGCCATTAGATTAATGTCAGCTGTGATCCAATTAAGGATGTTGAAACTGTATTGCACCACAGGGACAGCTAAAGTGTTTATGGCTGATATTCTGTTTTGTGAATTCAACTCGCTATTTAACAGCAGACGCATATGCCTGTATTATTATTATTATTATTATTATTAGCAATAATAATAATAATAATCATAATTTTTTCCGCTTCGCAAGATGTCTTAGGGTTATCTGACATCATTGGGAGTACGCAGATGGGAGACTTGCTTGGAGCAGTTCATATGTAAGTGTTGTGTCTCTGATGGTAGGAGCTGTGATACATGTACCCGGTATATCCTTATCAGATTGGGCGTCATGATAGGTATATTATTTTCTTTCTCTGTGCCGTGCCCTTTCAGGACGTAGGCGATTATGGCTCTCCATCTTCCTCTATCCCGTGCAACTCTCAACAAGATCCTTCCCTCTGCCACTTCCCCCAGACCACGTTCTGTCATCCATTGCTTGAGGCCGCTAGGTACATACCTATCAGCCTTAAGTAACTGATGACTCTCTTTCCCTCTATTCGACCCGTGAGTATCAGATTCTCCAGGTCCTCTTTCCTTATTATGTGTCCCAGGAACTTCAGCTGCCTCTTCCTGATGTTAAGTATATGCCCCCTCCTTGTTTGCATCCTCTCTAAGACCTCATCGTTGCTCACACCGCTCGGTCTATGATATCCTTAGCATCGTTCTGTAGAACCACATCTCCGTCGCTTCGAGTCTCTTCTTCATCTTTGAGGAAATCGTCCACCATTCGCTGCCGTAAAGAAAGACAGATGTCACGTAACAGCTCAGTATTCTTTTCTGCGTTACCAAAGAAATCGTCCTGTCTCGCACTATTCTGCCAAGATTTTGGAATGCGTCCTTGGCCATTCCAATACGTCTACGGATTTCAGTGTCGCATTTACCGCCCCCTGTGAGAATGCTTCCTACATATTTAAACTTCCGCGTCTGCTTGATTCTAGGTTTCCTATATTTTGTATATTATATTTGATGGTGTTATACTCTTTTATTTAACTAGAAGAAGAAGAAGAAGAAGAAGAAGAAGAACAACAACAACAACAACAACAATAATAATAATAATTTTAACCCATCGTGTTATTGTAGCTCATTATCAAGTCCTCATTAACTGATGTTGATACTGTCGCTTTTTATTCACGAGAATCGCGTAGAAATGAAGACATTTCAACGGTGATTGGAAATATGTGATGAAGTGAGAAAAACAGTGATATAAGGAAAGAGAGGAAAAAAGAAAGAAATAAAGAAGGAACAAAGGAAAATAGAAGGAAAGAGAGAACGATAAGGAGGGAGAGAAATATAGACGGAGAGAGAACGGGAGATAAATAGAGAAAAAGAATGAGAGAGAAGGAGAGTCGGGAGGGAGAGAGAGAAGGTGTCGTTATTTTTTATTCTATGTCTAAATGGTGCCGGTGGAATCTTTAACACTGCAGCCGTTCAGAGCGCGGGCCGCGTGAATACTACGGTTTTTGTTTGCCAAGTAACTAAAGCAACAAATCAATCACTCACTTATTGCTACCGGCGATGCGCTTAAAAGAAATTAACGAAACATGATTTTATTATCCCCGTGTATTTTTCCTACGGTGGGGCACGGCGGAAGAGATAGGCGAAAAGAGGGTTAAGTTATTGAGACAATGGGGAGATAAAGAAAAACGAGTTACTGAAAATGTTAAATTCTTAAACAGTCAGAGAGACAGATAGATAGAAAGATAAATAGATAGAAAGAGAGAGAGAGAGAAAGAGAGAGAAAGAGAGCGAGAGAGTGAGAGAGGAAGGTAAGAAAAGAGTAAGGGAGAAAAAATGATTGACGTAGATAGATAGATAGATACAGAGGGGAAGAGATAAAAGGGTAAGACAGAGAAAATGTTTGTGCAAGAAAGCAAGCTAGATAGCTAGAGAGAGAGAGAGAGAGAGAAAGGAGAGAGAGAGACAGACAGACAGACAGAGATTGGATGTGATGAACAGAGTAAAGAGGATGATATATATATATATATATATATATATATATATATATATATATATATAGATAGATAGATAGATAGATAGAAAGGAAGAGATAAACAGGTAAGGGAGAGAAAATGAATGAGCTCACAATCAAGCTAGTTAGAGAGATAAAGAGAGAGAGAGAGAGAGAGAGACGGAGAGGATGAGATGGAGTGAGTAAAGGAAGGAAAATGATTAAGCTAGCTAGAGAGACAGATACACGGATAAGATAGATAGATAGATAGATAGATAGATAGATAGATAGATAGATAGATACGAAATGTATTGGAGAGAGAAAATGATTGAGATAAGATTTATAAATAGAAAGGGTAACGGAAAAAATGATTGAGTTAGACAAATAGACACAGAGATAATTAGTGTGTGTGTGCGTGAGAGAGAGATAGAGAGAAAGGGAGACAAAGAGAGACAGAGACAGAGAGAGACAGATAGACAATGAGCTGGGACTCCAATGATTTAGATAGATAGATAGATAGATAGATAGATAGAAAGAGAGAAGCGAGAGAAATGAGAGAAGCAAAGATAGAAAGATACGCCTCTCACTTCTACACCCATGAAAATCTACAGTGTGGTCCGAAAGTCTTGTCACCCTTACGTAATAATATAATTTTCTATTTCAACGCTCTGCGGGGTATTAACAAGCAGAGAGTTTCACGTGAACGATACCAGAATACTCATCAGTTGAAGGACGCCATTCGGAGAGCCTTTGCAACAATGAACAAAGCGCAGCTTCGTAAATTATCATTCAGGACATGGCACCACATCATTTTGTGCCACGAAAAATGATGGTGCTCATACAGACCTTCTCGATGTGTGACAGCGTCAATGAAAGGGAATAAACTGAATCCAGTACATGTGTTTTTGTATTACTGTATTACTTGTTCTATTGTTCTCGTTACTTTTTAGTAGGGGAAGACAAGACTCTCGGACCTTTCTGCAGTGAGTTTCAGTCTATATATTCAGTATATATTTGGTCAATTTCTAGCGTCACATTCATCCATGCGTACAGGACTCTGCATTAATTGTATCCTTATGCCAAACTTAACATTACGACGATGGCCGCTATGTTATAGGGAAAATAGTTTCATTTTTTTTAATTGAAAGAATTAACAGAAACTGAGATTTCCAAAAAAGGCACGACACGTGGAATTAGAACAACATACCCTTGATTCGAAATTGCAACGTATATCACCATCGGCCGTAACGTCGTGAATATGTGAATAAAGATGAGGACCACAGTCCGAACGATGTAAATAATGTAAATAATTACGATACCTCATCTCAGAAATATAGACAGATCCTGAAGATGGTAGGGGCGTACAATGGGCGAAACGTCGTGAATATGTCAGTAAAGATGAGGACAACAGTCCGAACGGTGTAAATAATATAAATGATTACGATACTTCATCTCAGAAATATAGACAGATCCTGAAGATGGTCGGGGCTTACAATGGCCAAACTTCTGGGAGTGCAAAGCTGTATCGTGTAACAATCAAAATAGAGGGCGAAAATGTCCATACACAGAAATCAAATTGCTTGGTCGGGAATGGTAATCAATTTCCTTTAATCAATTATTTGTAATAGTTTACATGCTTGTGTCTCTATCAAATTTTAGAATCCTATTTTAAATGACTCTGTAATATCTTGAGTAAATAATGCATCACTGACAAAATCAGCAAGTTATTTTTTACAGTATTTTTTCTTTGTTTCTAACAATTATTTCTGTTTCTTGGTTACTTTTAGGAAGGCATATTTTACTATTTAAATGCGTCTTCGGATTTCGGTGTCACCTTTTCTACCCTCTCTTAAAACACGTCTCAGATATTTAAACTTCTGTACTTATTTGATTTTGACAATTTGTAGATAGCATCTTGAGCTTTCCTCTTACTAACAACCTATCTTGATGTTTAGTACTTTCTTCTCGATTTCTTTTACAAATTTCTCTAGATCTCTCATCAACACATTATCATAATGACATTAAAATCTGAAATTATATTTGAAGCTTATTTAATATGACGTAGCGGAAAATAACCATGACTTTTCAGCTGAATAAATTTATCGACTTGATATGTTTTAGAAACTGATTCGATTTCTTGTAAACAAAATATCACATCGATTCATTAAGACAGAGTTATACAAATCGATTTAGATCCATGAGAGAATCGATAAAAATGTCTTAGTTTACTGTTTAGAATCTACGGAATCCTTATGAAGAAATGTGAATTTTTTTCATAATAAACTGTAGAAATATTATTTACATTATTTACATGAATGTCCTCATCTTTCTTGCTATATTCACTATGTTTCTTTCGTTGTTTGTCAAAATCTGTCTATATTTCTGATACAAGGTATCGTAAATAATGTATTTATCAAAAAATTGTAATATGAACTCTGTTAAAAACATTGACACTTAGACACTTGGCTTATAAGTCACAAAACTTTACTCATTGATGTCCCCAAGTGTGTCTCCAAGGACATATGGTCCAGTGAATATTGGCGAAAAGATAAAATTTATGGAGAAATACTACAAAAGACGGGAAGTTGTGGAGAGCCATGATCGCCAACGTCCTAAAGGGACACTGTATATAGAAGAAGAAGATAAAATTTCGTACAAAAAGTCGAATAACTTTCTCATTGAGTTATGAGCGAAAACACTTAATATTTGGGACTCCAACGTGGTAACAATCTTATTTAAAGAGGTAAGTGAATTATCTTTATATTTACGAGGCTTAGCCTAAATTGATAGAGGAACATAAGGCGGTAGAATGATTCTATTGTTCCAAACATCTACTATGAAGGCCATCATTGAAGCTAAAGGAAAAGGGGGGGATAAAGAAAATAAGCAAGATAGATCGATCGATAGATAGATAGATAGGGAGAGAGAGGGAGAGAGAAAGAGATAGAGAGGAAATAGAAAGACAGAGGAAGTGAGGGAATGAGGGAAGACTGAAATTATTGAAATATATAGACAAACAGCCAACAATATATATATATATATATATATATATATATATATATATGCGGAAAAAAAAACCATATATTAAATCAAATAATTTATATATATATATATATATATATATATATATATATATATATATATATATATATATATATATGTAAGCAAATATATGGATATTGATCCGACAGTATGAAGAAAAATACACTGAAAAACAAACAAAAATCCTAATATGCGATAATGCTGTTTTAATGTTTAATGTCAACGTCTGACGTTTCGGTCTAATAGACCATCTTCAGGACATATTCATAAAACATAATTAACATAGACCATATACAATTCAACATGAAAAAGACGATGGACATAAAAGCAATACCAATCCAAACAGATAACTGAAATCTTTTATAAGGTCAGCGCTCCGTTTAAATATGATCACGTTGTCGTCACGTGGGCGATGTTGTGAAAACGTATTCCTAAAATTTGAGTATTTTGAATGAAAAACGAAAAGAATTATGTTTTATGAATATGTCCTGAAGATTGTCTATTAGACCGAAACGTCCGACGTTGGCATTAAACATTAAAACAGCATAATCGCATATTAGGATTTTTGTTTGTTTTTTCAGTATATTTTTCTTCATATATATATATATATATATATATATATATATATATATATATATCTTCAAACATGTTTCATTGAATAATATAGACATATTGTGCCTACTTATTTTTATACTGATCCTTTCCAGTTATCTAATCAGTTTCGTGATGTTAAGGTGTAATTCATCAAGGGAGGCACCGTAGTTATTGTGACTGCATTAAAATCTGCATTCCGTTCTCATGGTTATATATTATTCAATGAAACATGTTTGAATAAAGATATGCTGCCCATATATATAATTTTAAACTACGCTAAAATCGTCCTGCTTTGTCACCAATGGAGGACACGAACCGCACAAATTGCTCACAGGTTTTGTGCGAGAACGGCCATCACCCATCGGCCTGCCATTGTGCAGTTATCCTGCTAGAGACTCCAAGCAATATCCTTTGCCTGTCCCCGTCGCTTTCACACCATCGCCAATGGAATTGTTTTGCGTGTAGGACTTAATGATAACACACATAAGTTATTTTAACGTCAATTAAGTTGTCAGAAACCCACACATGCTTTGATTACAGTGGTGAAGGCTTGTGTAGCACCATCCACACTTCTTGGAACTGCTGATAACATGACGTCGGTGCAAAAGTTTGCCACGGACACCATGAACAACAGACCTCAGGTTTTTCATCAGAGTGTCCTTCTCCTAGATACCTGTCATAACAAGGACTGAGGGGGCATCTCTCCCAGTGGTTTATCCGCGCCCCAGACATCAACCTGGGTACTTCTACGTCCCGGCGCATATATATATATATATATATATATATATATATATATATATATGTGTGTGTGTGTGTGTGTGTATATAGAGAGAGTCAGAGATAGGAAGCGATGTAATTATTGATATATATATATTAATAATTGATGATTCATTTTTCAACGCTTATCAACCCTTTCAAGGTTATTTAATGTCAGAAATATTTTTAAATTGTAAGAATTTATTAGGGGAGGCAATAATTGCTTAGTGATATAAGTATTACTAATTAACCCATAGCTGGGGAGAGAAGTGGTGGATTTATAGCTTTCCCAAGGTGAGTTGCGCGTAAGTGAATATAACGAACCAAAGGGGGAATTGGAACAGGAAAGGTATGAATCCATCTCTCCCCGCCCCAGCTATGTGTTAATTAGTAGGATCATTAAATCGTTATTAGCTCCAATAGATCCTTACAACTTAAGTATATTTTCTTGCTATAAATAACCTGCAAAAAAAACAAAAAAAACAAAACAAAAAATATATATATATATATATATATATATATATATATATATAAGTGAATATTTAAGTCAACACTCAGAGGCAACAGGCTTTCTCATGCTGGACGCATTCACAACATGACGATTGCGTCTAGCATGAAACATCCTGTCGCCTCTGAGTGTTGACTTAAATGTACACTTTTATATTTATATTTACATCTGTTCTATTTCTGATATTGATCTCTTGATCCCATAAATATAGCACACCTTAAAACTATATATATATATATATATACCACCGCCCTTCTTCCTCCGAAAACCCTAAGTACATCTCTTTTCTCTTTACTTCCCCGTTTTTCCCTTTTCCTCCTTTTCCTTCCCCCATATCATTTCAAGTCATCCCATAAGTTCTGTCCGAATTTTGAATAAAGAAAACAAGTGACCAAATGTTACATTTAATTACAGATTCAATCAACAATGTATTTTCCCTGATTATCTATGACTTCCTTCCGTCTATTAACAAGTTTACTAATTGCATTAATGTAAAATTCTTTTGGCTTTGATTCAAAAAACTTACAAATGTCAGTTTTAACCTCTTCCTGTGTTACAAAAGCTGTTTCTTCCAAATGATTCTGTAAGCTACGAAACAAATGGTAGTCTGAAGGAGCAACATCGGGAGAATAAGGTGGATGATGAATTTTCTCCCAACCAAGTTCTTCGATCTTTTGTGATGTGATTCTTGTTGTGTGGGGTCGTGTATTGTCCTGATGAAACATCACCTCTTTTCGATTCACTAGAGCAGGTCTTTTTTTCCTCAAAGCTTGGTTCAAACGCTTTAATTGCTGACAGTATATTTGCGCATTAATTGGTGCATTAGGTGGTAAGAATTCAAAGTGGATTATTCCTTGGCGATCCCACCAGATTGAAAGAAGAACCTTTTGTCCATGAAGTTCCCTTCTCGGCTGTGGCTGGGGTCCTTCCCCTTTACCAAGCCACTGTCTACGACACTTAACATTTTGATAAAAGATCCATTTTTCGTCGCCAGTCACAAGTCTATCCAAAAAAGGTGAAACAAGTTGGCGAGAATGGAGACAATTCATGAGGTACCCATTTTCCAAGTTTAGGAACTTTTCCAAGTTGTTGAAGATGACGATGAACAGTTGTATGGTTTGAACTGAGAGCCACTGCCAATTCCTCAACTGATAAAGCAGGATTTTCTTCAAGGGCTGCTTCAAGAAGCTTTTCATCAAACCCAACTGGACGTCCGATTCGATTTTCATATTCAAGGGTGAAATCTCCACCTCTGAATTTTGCAAACCATCTTCTGCAAGTTCTTTCATTCACATATTCCTCTCCATAAACTGAGTGAATGTTTCTAGCCGCTTCGGCTCCTGAGTTTCCTTTCTTGAACTCATAAAGCATTATGTGCATCAAATGATTCTTAGGTACTTCCATGTTAGCAGGGATTTAATCAAACAAAATTTAATTTTATTGTTCTCTGAAATAAAATTTGATCAGTTTAAATGCATCTAAACATAAAAATAATGTTCAGCTCCATTAGACATTATAAAATACTCTTTAAATTTCGTTCATTTTAACAAAAAGTTAAAATTCGGACAGAACTTATGGGATGACCTGATATATATATATATATATATATATATATATATATATATATATATATATATATATATATATTAATTAAGTTAGTTTATACCTAGCAAAAACACGTCTGCCAGTAAATTATTGGCAGATAGTGCATTCAAGGCTTGCAGATTTTTCAAATAAAATGATTTCTTTTAAAAATTCAATAGATATATCTTTCCTGACATACGGATCTGTCTTAGAAAATAATTCAAGTTGCATGACAAATCATTGAACTTTCTTTCTTTTTTCTTTCTTTCTTTCTTTCTTTCCCTCACTCCCCCTCTCTCTCCCTCTTCCTCCCTCTCTCTGTCTCTCTGTCTCTCTCTCTCTCTATATATATATATATATATATAAATAATATAAAGTACCGCTAAAATGATGAAAAAGGCCCCAAACTTGTTAAAAACAAGTTTTTATTGTCAAAATTAAGAGGAAATACCAAAGTATTTTCTTAATTATTTTTAATCCTTTCTAGCACGTTCGAAATTTTAGTTAAAAATCATATCTTTCTTGCGTCAGCCGGTTTCAAAGATTAGTATCAGCATTTTTTACGTCTTTTTGATGTTAAAACTCAGTTTTATGAAATTCTTGCCAAAAAATCAAATAATTTAATGAAATTTTCAGGACATATTTACAAATGAATGAAATTATTTTAAAAGTATTTTCTTTTAGAAAATCTTTGTAAAATATATGTTTTTACATCAACTCCATTTACTTAATTTTATGAAATTTCGAGAAAAGAAAACTTCAGCCTCTTCATATTTCTATTAGTTAAAAGCAGGAATCCTAGGGAGAATTTAAATGATCAATTTGTTTTGACTGAACAGAAACACCATTTAAAGAAAATCTTCTCTGAATTGTAAAATAAAAAATGCAATAAAACTATGACATTATTTAATTAGAAAGGCTTTTAATTGCTTTTATAAATATGTTAAAGATACTACTGTCATGAGAAAATTTTTTCGAGGATTAATGAATTATTACAAGAATTGTTTTCATTTATGTTGTAGAGTAGTTTTCACAGTGGAGGCTTGTATTTCAATAAGTCGTCCTAAATTAGGTTCGACGTACAAAACGTTAGGAACTTGAAATAAGAGTTAATGACGCAGCAATCTAGTTGTGATGGTTGATACTTCAATGTCCGACATCGACTGACTCACTCAACACTACTGAGCCCAACTGGCGACCGCTACTAATACTTATTATCTGTGGGAGAGCCTATTACAATAGAATAGGTAATGTTCTGATATAACAATTTATTAAAAAGTTTTATTAAAAAACTTATTAAGTTTTAAACGTTTTAAAATTCAGTATTAATTTCAGCTTTTTAGATGATATTATTATTAAGTGAAAACTATATTTACTAATCATAAATGGAAAATATTAATACAAATTATCAAATTTTCGAAATTTTTGTGTGTAAAAAAATTGGTGATTTTTTGTAAGTAGGGACGATCATAAACGATATTTCAGAAAATAAGTATAGTAAATTTAAAGTCAAAATTTCTAAAATTCAATAAGACAATAGATTATTTCCTTAATTTTTATGATTACGGAGCACTTAAAAATTGTATAAAACCGGTGCTCACGCCATTTTCTTCAATTATGTTTGACAGATCACGTCTCCGTAGAAAAATATTAGATCTGTCATCAGGCTGTCAACACATGAAAACAGCTACTGTTGGGTTAAAAGCACTGCTACTGTCGGGATAAAAATGCATTTCTATGATATTTTGAACTTAAACTCAATAATTTTTGATTCAAATCAGATGAATTATTCATTAAATCAGCTAATATTACTCAAATTAAGTTTCAGAAAAGTATATTTTATTCTTGGAAGATTTTTTTAATAAAAAATTACATTGCGATGAAAGACAATTAAAAAATGGCGCCAATTAGCCATTTTAGCAAAAACATGGACAAAAATCACCTTCCAGTTAATTTAAATCAGTTTTTAAAATACAGCAAAATATTTTATTTACTGGAATTATTACATTTAATCTCTTAGCTTTAAATTAAAACTAAAATAAAAGCTTCAGGAAAGATTTTGCATTTTAAAAAGTTCATTTTAAACCTTAGGTATCGCGTTTTTGCGGAGGTTCTTAATATGTATGTGTGTGTGGGGGAGGTATTTGTATGTGTGTGTGTGTGTGTGTATTTACAGTTTTTGCTTATTTGGAAATCAGATAACAATCATAATACATTTAGTGGATGAAGGCGTTACACACACACGGATTCACACACACACACACACATATATATATCGTTCGAAGTTCGGACAATTTATGACGGAATTTCCTCCTTTTCTGTGAGGGATTATTACTTACTTACAAAAGTCGATCATTAAAATTAATCGACACAAAATGTCTGTTGTTTTTAAAATCATTTTGCCTTAAAGAACATTTAATGGATGAATACACAGAGTATATATATATATATATATATATATATATATATATATATATATATATATATATATATATATATATATATGTGTGTGTGTGTGTGTGTGTGTGTGTGTGTTTCTCTCGCAGCGCCTGTATAATTTTTTATATTCATAGTAGGCCAGAGGAATATGATATACGCTCGCATCATTCAGTCTTTTGGGTTCATTAGGTGAATTATTTTGCTTGCCGACCAGCGCCTTTAGCGGCCATCTTTTTTGGAGCGTTCAGGAACATGGCGTTCGCGAGATGACAAGAGAACTTTAAAATATATAAGCAAAACAAAAACTAATTGAAATAAAACAGAAAAGAAGAAAGAAAGGAAACAAAAAAACTATTTTATCGCCTAACAAAGAATGTCTAGCCGATTGTTGTCAGATAAACAACTTTCTTTTTTTCTCGGTGTATGTATTTATTTTTATTTTCCTGTGTTTCTTTCGTCTCGTTTATATTGATATACATAAAGTATGCGCAAACACAGAAATACATGTGCATAAAGATTATTTATCCACTAATATTTATGTATAAGGCACGTGTTTTTTTTGCAATGTTACTGTTTTATATTTTTCTATAGATTTCTTCTGATAATGTCGAACAAATACGTATTTATTGATTTGAAAAGATGAAAGAAAGCAGTTCTGCACAAACAGATGCGAGTTTACACACATAGACACAACTACATATAATTTGTTCATATATGGCTGGCTACTCGTTTCTGTGCACACCAGTCTGTCAGGGCGGTTAGCAAAAGCCTATTACAGACGTCCGCTGAACCGACAGTGTCCAACTGTGTTATACTTCAACTATGCCGAGCAGACCTAAGTTAAAGTTTCTAAGAGTGAGCGTATAATTTGGCATGACAATCAATTTTTTGAACAAGGACGGCACGCTCAAACACTCGGTCACGATGAAATGTAACTTTGTGCTAGCATAACCAGCGACGGCTTCCGAACAGCTAAGTCTGCCTAATTTCACTCAGAAGGCTTGGATTAACCACTGGTATGTTTTTCAGCCACTTTCCAAATGTGCTGTGTGTTTGGAACGCCTCCCCCGGCTGATGTATTAAAAAAGTCAACCATGGTGAGATTGAACTTGTATCTCACGTTAAACGTTCTAACCACTTGGCCACACGTCCATATATACGAGGGTAAGCAAAAAATTATCAGCACTTTCACCATAACATATCTTTCTGAGAGAACTGGAAACCCTACCGGGATTAACAGCCACAATCTTAACAACATAAGATACGCAGATGACACAATACTGGTAGCAGACACGGAAAAGAAATTACAAAATCTCCAACAGAAGGTAGAGACGGAGAGTGAGAAAAAGGTACTAAGCATAAACTGCAAGCAAACAAAATGCAGGGTCATCAGTAGAAGGATGAGCCCGAAATGCGATTTGCAGGTCGGGAACATTGGAATCAAGCAGACGCGGATGTTTAAATATATGCGAAGCGTTTTGACAGAGGACGATAAATGTGACACTGAGATCCGTAGATGTATTGGGATGGCCAATGACGCATTCGAAAATATGGGCAGAGACAGGAGGATTTCTTTGGTAACAAAGAAAAGAATACTGAACTGTTACTTGACACCTCTCCTTCTTTACGGCAGAGAATGTTGAACGATTTCCTCAAAGATGAAGAAGAGACTCGAGGCGACGGAGATGTGGTTCTATAGAAGGATGATAATGATAACATGGACCGAGTGTTTGAGCAACGATGGGGTTTTACAGAGATTGCAAACAAGGAGGAGGCTTATACTTAAGATCAGGAAGAGGCAGCTGAAGTTTCTGGGACACATAATGAGGAAGGAAGGCCTGGAGAATCTGATACTCACGGGTTGAATAGAGGGAAAGAGAGACAAGGGAAAACAACACATGACATACCTGGTGGGCAAGTGGATGACAGAACATGGTCTGGGGGGAGGAAGCAGAGGGAAGGAACTTGTTGAGAGCTGCAAGGGATAGAGGGAGGTGGAGAGCCATGATCGCCTACGTCCGGAAAAAACATGGCTCATAAAAAGAAAGAAAGGTTTGTCGCACTGCTTTCCGGACATGCGTACTTATAGTTTTGATATTACTGTGGTCACGTGATCGAAGTTTGAACCTGATCGCGCCACTGTTCTTGCTGATGTCCCAATAAAAACTGAAGAACCAATCATTGTGGAAGGATGGTTACTGAGTGAAGTAAGCGTTAAGACAGAAGATTATGAGGATACTTAGTAAATGCCCCTTTGAACAGGTTAAGAATGTAGTGTTCGGGTAAGAATCGAAGCTGAGGGATTGTTCCATGTGGGGAAAATAGAAACGGCCTACCTCACAAACGCTCTCGTATCTGTCTGGCCTGTGGATTGAGAAAGGAAAGAAAAGATCCAAGATGGCGTCCGTGACTTTTAATATTCACGGTCTCGTGCAGTCACGCAAAGTCGCGTTACACACATGCTAATGAGGTGTGTCTGGGCTCCATAAAAGCAGGTTGCTTGGAGACATTGGCAGACCAACATTACACCCGTGCTTGGTGTACATCGTTTTGTGTTGCAGCGTGTCAGACATTTTTCAGACGGAAAGAGTTGCGTCCCTTACACTGTTGAAGTCGACTCATTCGCTACATTCCAGAAAGTTAACGGGAAAAAGATGCCCGAGTGGAATTTACAAATAAAATATAGAGTAAATGTGGACGATTCACCTCCGTGGACGCTGCACGGTGCGCCCTAACAGTAAAGGCCTGAACTGGTAGAAATAAAGAATGGAGCTCATCGGAATTTTTGCTATGAATCGTGATAGACTAGCAATTGGCTAACAACGTTGTGTCTATAAGAAAGTGTCTACAGAGTGGACAATAAGACTTCTGCAACAAACCGGGAAAGCGATTTTGAATTCTATCAAGGGTTGAAAGTGAGGAATAGGCTACTCTACGCCAGACATGTAAGATGTAAAACTTGATTTTTGATTCTGAATTTCAGTTAAGCAAATTAACCAGAAAAGCTATTCGAAGTTTTTTTTTTCTTGCTTCAAAAAATATGACATAAAATCTTCATCGCTCTAGTATTATACAGTTCTAGTTTGCAGACATATCTTAAAGTGTTGTTAGTATGATATGGAAGAGCAGTTAAGTGAAACTTGGAAAAATCCGATTTGATGGTTGTCAAATCTTATGAACGCTCTGTGAATTGAAAAAGTCCCAGACAGAGACAAGCAAGGGCGCCTTGAGTAGAAGTGATGGAAAGAACATTAATATGAAGCCAGTCGATGTAAAATCGGTCAGCTTCTAATTCATCAGTAAAAGGCGATTAAAATAGGCTGGAAACACGGTGCAAATAATCTTGTTGTATGAAGGAAAATTGATAATGAAATGGGTCAAAAAGATAATGTTTTTCATTCAAGCGACGGCTAATTTTCTTTCCTAATCGGTCACGGCTAATGGTTTCTTTTGTGCCTGGTTCGTTGTTTAAAATAGTTCTTTTGTTTTAAACGATACTCCCATACGCACACACGACCTAGTCAGATCGATAATTTCATAGCTAAATCATGTAAAATGCATTGATTTTGTCGTAACAAGTAGGTTATCAACATAGTCTTGTTTTTTGTCAATGCACTTAAGAAGTGAATATATATATATATATATATACATATATATATATATATATATATATATACATACACATACATATATATATAAATACATACATACATACATACATATATATATAAATATATATATATATATATATATATATATATATATATATATATATATATATATATATATATACCAGTGTAACAGTAAAATTGTCCAAATCGTGTAACAGCAAAATTGTCCTATATATATACAAATACATATATATATATATATATATATATATACATACACACACACACACACATATATATATATATATATATATATATATATATATATATATATATGTATGTGTATATATATATATATATATATATATATATATATATATATAACAGTCGCGATGTCATCAGTTCCCAATTATATATTGATGCTGATGACACAACTATTTGCTCCTGTCAGTTCTGTGGGTGACAATAAACTACATCCGGCCACAAGGTCTCTGATCGGGAGATTGTAATTGCTCGCCTTTCTTGGTGTGAAATGATTGGAATAAAATTGTGTGGAGCGGTATTTGAGAAGCATACTTTCTATAAAATAATTGACAAAGATACTTTTGAAATCTTTACTATATTTTTCATGACTGCAAACAAAAGATCTAACTTTTACATTTAATATATGAAGAAATTGTACATATTTCTCTCTCTCTATATATATATATATTAGTCCAAAAGCGCAAGTCATCGTGCCAGAGACTTTAAGCGGAATAATCTTGTTTATAATATGTTTATTAAGTCAGAGTATACACTCTTTTCTATAAACTAACTAAGGCCCGATCAGTATAATCGTAAATATAAAGCACAGGTTGGTTCGGTAGGCGTTGAAGAAAAAAAAAGTGCCTGTAAAGAGTTATTTAACATGGATTAAATACGCTATATACTAGACGGACATATTCAGTATCGAATAGCCAGCCAATTATATATATATATATATATATATATATATATATATATATATATATATATATATATATATATATATATATACACAACATGTATATCTCTAGTCCCCAGAAGATAAGACGTTTTGTCATATTGACACTATTTGTCGTAAAAATCACTGCTAAATCCTTTGAGTTATTCGGCTAGAAAGAGAGCAGAATAAAAGGAAAGAGAAAAAAAGATCACATAGGCCTTCAGCAATGGTACTAACATTCATACTCTAGTGTCTAACTTCAAATCCATACAAGAACCATCAAGAAAATGGCGAATAAGTTTAATAAAAAGGAACAGTAAAGGAAAATTTGGACCAGGAAGTAACACAAGAAAAGGGATCATCATTTCAAGTTAGAGCTAAATAGATCAATTATAAAAAAATCCAACTCAATCAATAAGACATTTAGTACATGAGAGAGGAGGTTCATCTATGACAATCCAAATAACAGTGAAAAAGGACTTGAAAATAAAATCGTACGTGAAACCTGGGAGGCATATTGTTACTCCAGGAAAATAGGTCAGATGGTTAGAAAGGGCGTAGATCACCTTGAAAAATGTTGGAAATGACCC